TGGCTCGATACTGCTCGTCGTTCCGGGCCTGGTTCTCGTCGTACCGAGCTTGGAACAAGGAGAACCAAGCGGGAGCCTGCTGTGAAAATGTGCTCGGGTGCCCGTCCATCGACAAGGGAGGCTGATTAGTGTCGTGCTCGGGATGGGTGTCGGCCGCCGAGTCCTCATCATCTCCGTCATGAGAGGCTGCTGGGGCTGGTCCAGCTGACGTGCCGGCTGCCGACTGGTCCTCAGGTAAAGGAATGCCCATCTCTCTACAGTAGGCTTTGTAGCTCTCTCGCTCGCGGACGGGAAGAACAGCGCCGCCGGGCTTAAGGAAATGCCCATGATAGAGCTCCCGGTGCGAAATCGTGCGAGAATGAATCTTGGGCTCATCAACGTCTATCCCAAAGTGCTCGGCAAACTTGGATACGATATGCCCCAATGTCGGTCCACGCCTCGGGTCGTTCCGCACATCGAAGAGGGACTCCTTAAGGTACTGCAGCATACTAACCGACTTGTCCCTCGAAATCGACCAAATGATAAACACTTGCTGCTCGCTCACTTTGTTTGACTCCTTCTTGCCGAATATCATATGGGAGATATACTTGTGGATCACGACGTGAGCCACATCGGAGAGTAAGCCCGAAGAAGCCCCGGCTCTCTTGAATTTCTCGCACGGTGAGATGGTCGGCCAATAGGGGTCGGCTTTCCATCCCATGGGGCTATGACGAGTCCCGATGGAGGCTTTGAACTTGAAAATATCTCGGAGCACTTTGTCGGTGACCTTGTACTCTTTCCTTTTAGACGAGCCGTGAGGTACTTGCCGTTGTCGTGCATGGCAACCGTGCTAAAGAACTCAAGGGTCAAGTTCCGGTAAGTGTATTGCTCTATGTCTTCGAACTCTACGAGGTCAAGTAGTGTAATGTATCGACCGAGATCGTCCTTAATGCCCAAGGTCTCGAAGTAATCCCAATCGAGGGTGCGTGGAGCCGCTAACGGTTTGCCGGTGAGCCTTTTATAAGCCGTGACCTCGTCCATTGATTGGACGTCGAAAGGCACCCCGTGT